TACATCGAACGCTTTACTCAGGTCACACATATTTAGCAGAACTGAGTCCTTAGCTTCAAAAGCGTCTGCAATTTGTTCGACCAAGCTAGAGAGGGCCGTTGTGGTAGATCGTCCTTTCCGAAAGCCATGTTGAGCATCTGCAAGTAGGTGGTTAGATTCAAAGTACTTTATTAATTGTATCTTCATTACAGACTCTATGACTTTAGAGAGGGCAGGCAGTATGGCAATAGGCCTGTAGTTGGACAGCAGTGAGGGGTCACCTTTCTTGAATACTGGGATGGCTCGTGCAGTCTTGAGCGCGTCAGGGAAGCAGCCGCCTCTCAGGCAGAGGTTTACGACAGTCGTGAGTGGGTCCACGATGGTGTGGATGACAGCCTTCAAAACAGAGCAGGAGACACCGAAAACATCCTGGCTATTTGAGTTTTTGAAACCTTTAACTAGTTTAATAATGAAACTAGGGCTCACCTGATTCCAATGATTTAGGCTGCAAAATGATGATACATCCAGTAGAGAGTCCGCTGGGTCAGTCTGCTAAATAGGTAAATCAGCCACAACTTTGTCAGCTATTTCTGAGAAAAAATTGTTAAAATCATCAGGGGAACCTGCTGTTACGGTTTTAGGTTTAGGAGACCTGTGAGAATTTATAATGTCCCATGCTGCTTTACAAGTGTTGGACGCCTCTTTTATCTTTAACACATTAGAACCTTTTTTTGCTTCGTTTACTTTACAACGATAGAGTCGTTTGGTTTGAAGATATAAAGCATGGAGTCTTTCTTTCCGTTCAGGGACAGTAGACGTCTTACAAAAATCATGAAGAATACATATGTAAGAACGTAGTTTGGCCAGTTCCTGGGTATACCAGGATTTATCGGTATGAGTTTTGTTACTGGAACGGGGCTTGGCCTTCATGACTTTGAGAGGGAAGATTTGGTTGAAATTGTCCATGAAATTATCAAAAAAGATGTTAAAAGCTACCTCAGGCTCAGGACAATTATCTGCATTTGGGATGGCCCTAAAAGCATGCAGCAATTTGTGACACAATAGAGGCATATCATTATCATTTATAGATCTTTTAGCAGCAACATACTTTGCATACCAAGCAGGTTTATTTGAGCAGGGGCTTACCTTGTTAGAGTTTATTGTAACCAGAACTGCACTGTGGTCAGCCACAACGGGTTCCCTTATGCACACTTCCCAGTCCCAGGAGTCAACGTTGGTAGCTATGGAATCGAGGCACGCTTGCTCACGAGTTGGTTGTCTGGTGGTGAAATATAGTCCATAGCTACGAAGCAGGTTAGAGAAGAGTTCCTCGTCTCTGGAGTGACACTCGAGGTGAATATTAAAATCTCCACATAGGACTATTTTCTGGGGTTTGAGAGCATTCAGCAGATAATTAAGGCAGGAGTCAAGCAGATCAAGGAAAATATCCACTTTGCAATCTGGAGATCTGTACACAGATAACACAACAACCGAGAAGTCTGACAGCAGGACGGCGGTAACCTCAAATTGGAGTTCAACACAAAATCTCAAAGTGTCTATTTGTTTAAAGTTTATGTCACAGGTGCTATAAATAGCAACACCACCATGAAGTCTTTCACTTCTACAAAAGATATTTGCACGTTTGAGGTTAGCTAGGTTAGTGTAATAACATTACTTAACATTTGCCAGCCAGTGCTCTGATATACAAAGAATATCGCATTTAACTTCTTCAGCGAAAATAGACACAAGTTCACTTTTGTTCCTCAAACACTGAACATTTAAAGCACAAATAGTAATGTCTTTGCGCTTTGGATCTGTGTGGACAATATTTTCATCTGTAGGCTTTGGATTTGATGGTGGGTTGTCTTTTCTTACTACGTAGGAGGCTTGTTTGTCACTCGTCGGAATAAAAAACGCTTGAGTAGGGTGTTCTTAGGCCAAACAGCAGGGTTCATCAACTCATCCTTTCGGTCGAAGTCGACTGAGAGACGGAAACTTGCATTTGTTCCTCTGGTTTCCAACTTTTCTGTTGTCACTTCAATGTTTTGAAATGTGTTTTTAACAAAGTCACTAACAGCTTCAGTTGTTGTGTCACCTTTTAATCGCCCTACAAAAATCCAGGCTTTCTTCTGACCAGCAGTTATTAATCCATTTTCATCAGAAGTTCCGATGACGACATTGGAATTTGTTTTTGTTTTCTTCTTGGTTTCAGTGTTGCCAACAATTCGTCTAACGGGATATTTGTTGACACCGTTTTTCAGATCCGTAGGTCTTCGTGTATTTCCATTGGTTATTTTTACAGCTGAAGCATAACTTCTGTTCCTACTTTTTGCTTTCACCCATGGTCCTGCCACGTCATTTGTTGAAGTTTCGGGCTGAGATAGGGTTGATTTAGGGAGACCCGCCATTTCACTTTCGTTAATATCGATTTCAGCATTCGATATTTTGGCGTTCGATATATCATTCATCGAATCAATGGTCGCATCTGGTGATTCGATATGTAAATCGGTTTCATGAACCAGTTTTTCCTGTTCAGTTTCGTTAGCCTTAACCTCCAATAATTTAATAAAATTAATGTTAAGTAAATCATATTTGTCCCTACAAGCCACTAGTTTATTTTAAATTTGAATCCAATATTTACTAGGGTTACTGGGTTACTAGGTAAACTAATAACTAACTGTCTACCTCTTACCTGAATAAAATAATAAAAATATACTTACATCAAATGAAAGCGGTGAAGTTGAATTGGGTTTGTAAAATGTATGATGGATTTGTAACTATTTCATAAGAAGATCTTGAAGAACCATTTTTCTCTTCCACGTCCTATCCCCGTTGCAAAGCACGGGTAAAGGACATCTATATATATAAAAGGCAAAGCCCTCACTGACTCACTCACTCACTCACTCACTCATCACTAATTCTCCCACTTCCCATTTACCTAGAAGGCTGAAATTCGGTACACCGATTCTTTGGGCATCAAATAGGAAAACTAAGTAGTTTTTATTCCGATCGGGCTTTCGGGCTCTGCCCCAGTGGCTCTGGAGTTTCCCATGTTAACCTTTTGAGTACTCATATTTAAATGGAATTAAAGAATCTTAACAGCTGTTTCAATTAAACAAGTTGGTTCTGTTCTATGATGTTCAATAGCATTAAAGTTACAAGGATTACCAACAGGGTGCAGCACTATTATTTTACTTTCTCCCCCTATACCATAGTATATGGAGAAAGTATTGTTTTCGTCAAAATTTTCGAGTTTGAGTTTTGAGTGGATATATTCGTTTTGGGTCCCCATGGACCCAAAAAAGTGGTTTTCGAAGTGATGTCTGTGTGTGTGTGTGTGTGTGTGTCTGTGTGTCTGTGTGTCTGGATGTATACAGAGCTAGAGACTACACCTGTGGTTAGATTTCGATGAAATTTGGTATGTAGATTATAATCCATAGTATCTCCAGGAGTTTTAAATCATTTTTTTGAAATTTTGATTTTTAATGGGGATTTTCCCATAAAAACCCATAAAAAACCGGAAAATCGGATTTTCTCAAAAATGGCCCGAACAATTTTGATAAAAATTTAGTATGTTGTAGCCCTTTAAATTCTGAACAAAGTGGTACAAATCCCATTTCTGTAAAAATTACGGTTCAAAAGTTATGGTAAATTATGTTATTTTCCCATAAAAATCCCATAAAATAACGAAAAATAGGATTTTTGACAAAAATCCCGTTTTGATTTAACATAGTATGTTATGGCCCTTAAAATTTTAATAGTTTTTTCATTTTTTATAAATCTTTATTTTTAATGGGGATTTTCCCATAAAACCCCTTAAATTACGGAAAAATAGGATTTTCCCCAAAATGGCCCGAACGATTTTGATAAAAATTTAGTATGTTATAGTCCTTTATACTCTGAACAAAATGGTACAGATCCCATTTCTGTAAAAATTACGGTTCAAAAGTTACTGTAAGTTATGTTATTTTCCCACAAAATCCCCATAAAATAACGGAAAATCAGATTTTCCCAAAATTGGCTCAAACTATTTTGATAAAAATTTAGTATGTTATAGTCCTTTAAATTCTGTAGAAAATTATACAAATCCCATTTCCGTATATTTACTGTCACCGCTTACACATGGGGTTGTTGACAAACCTATGGGAGAAAGTATGTGTCAGAATGCTGATACCGTTTATTTTAAATTTATGACACAGCTAATTTGCAACCAAAAGGTGAGTGAGCGTAGCGAAAGAACTTCAACCTGGAGGCGAGTTAGCATAGCGAACGAGTTAACCTGAGGGCAAATGAGCGCAGCGAACGAGCTCCAACCTAAAGGTGAGTGAGCGTAGCGAACGAACTTCAACCAGGACGTGATCAAGCCATGCAAACGAGCTCATCTTGAAAATTAAGAAGTTAAACGGGGCAAAGCCCGCGGGTACAGCTAGTCCTACTATAAACGCAGTCAAGTACATTTGCACCCAATAACATGTTTCGGCTAGCACTTTGATATACTGTAGTAGCACTTTGAGGAGTAAAACCAATTAGTCAATAAAACTGTTCCGGGGCAACTACAATGAATCTCAAAACACCCTAGCCTAGCCTTATTATAAACATTCATTTATGTAACATTTTAGTGAATAGTAGACATCTTCATTAATGTTTGTGAATCGGTAGACCCACTGAAACACAACATTACATTAGTCAATTCTTTATGCATCTTGACTGGTGGCCATAGCAAAATTTACCCCCAATGTTTCTCATTTTCAATACTTGTACTCCCAATGAGTAACTCTTTGTTGATTATTTTAAAAGCACCAGAACCAAATAATTTGAAATCATGTTTATAGTCAGTCAAACGTAAAGCTAATAAAACAACCCCTGATTTGGGGGAGTTTACCAACATTCTCAAAGAGAAATCTTTATTGCCACCAGTAAATCTTGATAGAACAGTAGGGTTGTTGGCGCTTGCGCCGGCTGCACTGATGTGTACTGACTGTACCCATACTGTGATGTGACGGGTATCGAACCAACGACAACGGCAGCAAGGCAGAGGCAGTAGGCTGATGGAGAGATGGCTGAATGAGCGCCGTCTGTGGCTGTTCGGCAACAACCTGCCCTTACTGCCTAGAAGGTAAACCTCCTTCCCATCTATACTGCCATACAAACTATCTTTATATTAACTGAAAAAATATAGACTAGTTGTTAGTACAAAGGCACATTTCAAGTGCAAAATCGGATAATGATTTGTTTACAAATGTACGTTTTTACATAAGCAAAATGTTGCTATAGCCCAAGGTGGAACTAAAACTATGTAAAAAGATATACTTTTATACTCCTTGGCTATAGCCTATGTTTTTTGTCTTCAACATTATAATCGCTCTATAACTATATACCATCACCAGTAATAATGAATTATTTAGCATAGCTGAGTGTGTGTGCTGAGCATATTAAAGTGATTGTGATCGCTTCACTATTAGGTCGCTGGTTTGATCAAAAGTCATTAGACTTTTGATGGTTTTAAGCCCAGCGTCCCTAATCATTGGGTTGTTATAAGATGGTGCTGTAGTATAAATGCTACTAACACCAATTTACTATTGTGCTCTGAGTGTCAGGAGATTATACATAAGACGAGTGTGGCGGCCGGTAGGCAACCTAAAGATTGAGATACGCACACAAGTGTGTTTATAGTTTTTTTTTAAGGATTGTTTGATTCCGAATTCGTCGCCAGAGTTTAAAATATTTGATTTTCTTACAATAGACTATGCTTGAATAATAATATATAATTTTTCGTTTAATATGTCTGTAAAAATCAAAACGATATTTTTTTCAATTTTTCCTGTCTTTGTTGTTGTTGACGCCCACTAGGCTTATCGTAATACGATTCATGATCGTACGGCTCTTCTTGAATAATTATTTAATTTTCGCACACTTTTCTTTACTGTTGGTTGTATACATTGTTCACCCCTTTGTTTAAAGTTCATGTATAGTGATGGTGGTTTTATGATGTTTCATCTCAATCAATCTCTCTCAAATCGATCTTCAATCAATCAATCAAAATAAATTTATTTAATTGCAAACATATTGTACAGTATGTTATAGCTTTTGAATTATTAAAATAATGACTTATTACTTTCTCCCCCTATACCATAGTATATGGAGAAAGTATTGTTTTCGTCAAAATTTTCGAGTTTGAGTTTTGAGTGGATATGTTCGTTTTGGGTCCCCCTGGACCCAAAAAAGTTGTTTTCAAAGTGATGTCTGTGTGTGTGTGTGTGTGTGCGTGTGTCTGTGTGTGTGTCTGTGTGTCTGGATGTGTACAGAGCTAGGGACTACACCTGTGGTCCGATTTCGATAAAATTTGGTATGTAGGTTCTAATCCATGGTATCTCCAGGTGTTTTTCATTTTTTTGAAATTTTGATTTTTAATGGGGATTTTCCCATAAAAACCCATAAAAAACCGGAAAAATTGAATTTTCTCAAAAATGGCCCGAACGATTTTGATAAACATTTAGTATGTTGTAGCCCTTCAAATTCTGAACAAAATGGTACAAATTCCATTTCTCTAAAAATTACGGTTCAAAAGTTATGGTAAATTATGTTATTTTCCCATAAAGTCCCCGTAAAATAACGAAAATAGGATTTTAGAAAAAAATCCGGGTTTAATTTAACATAGTATGTTATGGTCCTTAAAGTTTTGATAGTTTTTTCATTAAAAAAAAATATTTTTTTATGGAAATTTTCCCATAAAACCCCATAAAATAACGGAAGAATAGGATTTTACCAAAAACGGCCAAAACGATTTTGATAAAAATTTGGTATGTTATAGTCCTTTATATTCTAAAGAAAATGGTACAAATCCCATTTCTGTAAAAATTACGGTTCAAAAGTTATTGTAAATTATGTTATTTTCCCATAAAAAAACCCCATAAAATAACGGAAAAATCGGATTTTCACAAAACTGGCCCAAAACGATTTTGATAACAATTTTGTATGTAGTCCTTTAAATTCTTAACAAGATTATACTAATCCCAATTCCGTATATTTACTCTCACCGCTTACACAATATGATAAAGGTTGTTGACAAACTTATGGGAGAAAGTATGTGTCAGAATGCTGATACCGTTTATTTTTACAAATCGTTTCCTATCTGAAAGGTAAGATTTAAACCATACCAATTTTGTACCTTTAACTCCAAGAGAGCTTAGTGTATTTATGAGAGTACTCTGGTCTACAGTGTCAAAGGCTGTAGACAAGTCTAAAAAGTTACCAAAGTAGTCACAATAGAAGAATATGAAGGCACTTGGGGCGTTTTAGAGGCTATACGGGGGCATTTTTTCTACGAGAAAAATTGGGGATAGTTTTTTGGCCACCAAAACCAAAAATCCTGATCTTTGCCTAAATATCCCTATAAATATTATTAATCCTCATATATATTCAATATCAAGCTAAACAAGCTATTTCTTATATTTATTGACCCTTACAAGTGTAAATGTAAAGTAGTGACAATAGAAGAATATGACGCCACCTCAAACATTTTTTGTCCCAGAACTTTTAAAATTTTCGGCGAAAAAAATTTTCAAAGCCCCAGGATTTTTTTTGGCCACTTTTTTAAAGACCTTGCTCTCGACCTATACACCCCTATATAAATTTTCTACTTTTTAAATATTGAAAAACACGTCTGCAATATTAGGATTATTTTTGGCCACTTTTTTTAAGACCCTGATCTTTGCCTATACAAGCCTATGTAAATGTTCAATACCATTGTAAAACTTCATTACTATTTCAAATCCACATCCATTCTCATGTATATTCTCAAAATCGAGCGAGGTTTGTACTCGAACTCGGGCGCGCTTCCGGCTCACGGCGTGCTCCCTTGGACATCCTTAGTGGAAATCCATGAATTCTGGCTACTTGGGAACCCAAGCCATTTGACATACAATAAATCACCCTTCCTCCGAATTACCTTTTCTACTAAATATATGTCTTTATACTTGGTCTTTAACAACTCCTCTGTGTAGAATCCTCCCCTGATTATATTTCCATTTTCATCTTTCAAGATATAAGTCACAGGCTTTGTATTCTTAACTTCCGCTATTGTAAATAGCTCACTTGTCCAATTTGGGGTATATCCTTTACTAAAAACATGTTTATACTTGGAAATCCTCACACTATCACCTACCTTATATATTTGCTTTTTAACTTGCACTACTTTAGAAGTCAACCTCTCATGCACATATTTACTATTCTTAATACTCACTTGGTTAGGCTTCATTCCTATAGATCTATGCACTTTATTATTATATTTTCGAATTAACTTTGGAAGTAAATCCAACCATTTATAACTTTCCTTAGCATTAAATCCCCTATATAACCAATTCTTTAAAGTTCTCTGAAACTTCTCTACAATTGCAGCCTTAGTTGTAGAAAAAGTGTGATAGTGATTAATATTTAAGATTTTCATTAGTATGCTAAAATATTGATTAAAAATTTATTTTCCATTGTCGGATTAAATGTTTTTAACCCCCTTTGGTAGAATGGTTTTAATGGCTTCTGTAACCACCAACCCTGCTTATTCTTTAGTGGAGCAGCATAAGCTTTTTTAGAAAATGTATCTATTAAAGTTAAAATATATTTATTGCCAGAATTTTCTCTAGCATAGTTTTGAATATCAATTAAATCTATTAGTACAGTTTCGTTTATACCTAATACTTTAAAAGACCTTCTAATGAAATTCTTTCTTGCAGGCTTATGAAGTTCGTATGCAATTTCATTCATTTTTTATAACATCACTCTTTCCTTTAACTCTAAATATATCACCATTAGCCCCAATCAATAGATTATCTTCCATTCTTTTAAATACATAGTTTTCTGGTATATATGGTCTATTATCTATATACTTAAATCCACTCAAAGATAAGGGGGCAGCAACTAATAAATCAGGATTGTATTCCATCAATTTTTTTTTCTCCATATACAAATTGCGATCAATCATAATGCATAGCTTGTGACAAAAGACAAATATCATCCAAATATTCCCCCTCTGGTAGACTCCTTATACATATTTTTTGGTATCCTAACATTTTTCTTTTTTATCAAAAGTAATAGTCTGTTCTTTTGTGACACAATCAGTGTCATCAATGGCAGGTTTAACACGTACTAACCTTTTATTATTAAAATTCCAATAGCTTGCTTCCATTTTTGGAACTTGTGAAACATTCACAGCATCTTTACTATCCGTACCTTCCATCAAATCGCTAAGTTTCTGTTTCTTAGCATTCCAAACACCATTCTCTGATTCTAAAAATCCATAATTATTATCGTCTTGTACAAATTTACCATCTTCTTTTCGTATTTAAGTATGTTGTAAAGTGGACACATCATTTAAACTTTCACCATTTTCCACATTAGTAATTTTCCGTTTCTTAGTATTCCAAACACCATTCTATGATTCTAAAAATGCATAATTATTATTGTCTTGTACAAATGTTCCACCATCTTTTCGTATTAAAGTCTGTGGTAAAGTGGGCACATCATCTAAACTTTCAATCAACACCCTTTCACCCTTTTCCACATTAGTAATTTTCTGTTTTTTAACATTCCAATTTTTATTCTTAGATTCTAAAAACTCATATTTAGTTTTACCTTGTAAAAAGACATCACCTTTTCTAGTTAATGTCTGTCGCAAAGTTGATACATCATCTACAAACTCCCCATCTTTAACATTACCAATTTTACGGTTTAAACAATTCCAACTATCTTCTTGTAAATTTAAAGTAGTTTCACTACGAGCCCTGGGTTCTGCAGGCTTATTATATGGATTATATAAACGATAAAATTTATCTATATACATATTTTTATTTAATAAATAATTCCACTTTCTCTCAATTCCTCAATAATGGAATCTATTTCATTATCCACTCTTGAGTTACCGGCTTGGCGACATAGCCAAAGAAGTCTTAACCTATCTACAAGCTCATTAGGATCATCCCAATAAATATAGTCTATTTTATTACCAGTCACTTGTCTCAAACCTTCGACAACAGATTTAAAAAGCGGTTTAATTATATTAAGATATTTAGTATGTTTATTACTTGAAATTGGTGCACCATCTTTGTAACTCTTTAAATGTCC